CAAAATTCAAGACTGAAACATCTGGCTTACCAGTTGGTGGAACAGTGAACTTTGGCAGGAGCATATATATCAGACAATATTAGATCAGCTGACCATTATAAACACACACATTGCGTCTTCCACTCTCTTCCTTCTATAATTGCTGGCTGGCCTCATTTTTTGTTTTACACTTCCAGCAAAGTATGTTAGACCAATTTATTTCCTTTCTATGGTAATGATGAGTTAATCGTTTGATTATGATTCAAATTTTTTAAAAAATCGTTATTTGCATTTGCACAATAGCAAATAGTAAAATAAAAATATTCTAAAATCAATAGCCAATTTGCAACTAAGGTGTGGAATACTAGATGCTGAGGGCAAAAGTACAGAGCCTAGGATTGAAGCATGAAGGTTTTCTTTTAATATTGGGAATTTGCAGTTAGGACACTTCCTCTGTGGGCCATCACCAACACCCCACACTCACTTCCCCTGCCCACTTCTGCTTGACATCTGTCAAAATTGACAGCATTGACAGAATGATGCATCGTGCAAAACAGGTCTTCTTATGGTCCAGAATTGGGAGCGAATACTACTTTTCTAATGGTGAATGATCAATGAACAATTGACTGCAGTAAAGAAAGTGACCACAACCATAATTCAAAAATATTAATTCCCTGACAAAACAACTAGTTTCAGCTCCAACACTTCTAACCAAAGGATAAACACAGATAGGTTCACTACACGAACACAGAGGGTCCGTCTTGTCTCCTCTGATGTATTTTCCTTCTGGCAATTTGGAGAATTCAATTCTTAGCATTAGAATTTTCATCCCTAAGACCAAGAACAGCAAATTGCTGCTTCCCCACTTGTTCAGCATTCCATCATCATTCAACCACTCACTGCTCCGAAAGCCGAAAATACAAGTTATGTTTTACGTTTTGGAGTCAGAGCTTCTGAATAGACACCTTTTGCTTTCTGAAACTTATGTAGACTGTTTTTTAAGCACACTGATGTTAAAATTTTCCATGACTGTTGAACAGATGGGAAACCTGGACATGCTCCAGATGGATGGCCCTCACATTTTCCATTAGATTAGTAAATTCTGGAGGCTACAACTGATAGCAAATCAAGGGGATATGAATTAGGCACATATCCAAATAATCATTACACATTATTTCACCAACGTTTAGTTCTAGAAGCAGCAAATGCAGCAATGTACCCACTCTTCATTAAAAGAAATGGGAATTACGCAGAAGGTCATATTCCATGTATGTAACTCAAACTTTTCGGTGAGATTATCAAAAGGCATTTCGGACTTCAAATAATGGAAGTCTTGAAGGTGTCACACATTAACTCCGCAACCGGTGTGTGCCCCATTCCCCTAGCTTGGGGAAAGCCTGCCTAGATAAGTCATGGAATCATACAGCACAGAAGAAGACTCTTCAGTCCGATTTGTCCATGCCGACCAGATATCCTAAACTGATCTAGTCGCATTTGCCAGCATTCCCATATCCCTCTAAACCCTTCTGATTAACATACCTATCCAGATGCCTTTTAAATGTTGTAACTGTACCAGCCTCCACCACTTCCTTTGGCAGCTCATTCTATAGACACACCACCTCAGGTTCCTTTCATACCTTTCCCCTCTCACCTTAAACCTATGGCCTCTAGTTTTGGACTCCCCCCAGCCAAGTAAAAAAGACCTTGGCTATTCACCCTATCCATGCCCTCATGATTTTATAAACCTCTATAAAGGTCATCCCTCAACATCCGACAATCCAGGGAGTAAAAGCCTTAGCCTATTCAGCCGCTCTGTTTAGGTCAAGCCCTCCAAATTCGGCAACATCCCTGTAAATCTTTTCTGAACCCTTTCAAATTTAACAACATCTTTCCTACAGCAGGGAGACAGAACTGTACACAGCATTCTAAAAGTTTTTTATTTCTATTCATTTGTGGGATGTGGGCACTGCTGGCTGGCCAGCATTTCTTGCCCATCCCTAGTTGCCCTTGAGAAGGTGGTGGTGAGCTGCATTCTTGAACCGCTGCTGTCCTCCTGCTGTCAGTTGACCCACAATGCCATGACGGAGTCTAGCAGCTATGTCCTGTAGGACCTGACCAGCTCGATCAGTAGTACTGCTGCTGAGCCATTCTTGATGGTGGACATTGAAATCCCCCACCCAGAGTATATTTTGTGCCCTTGCCAACCTCAGTGCTTCCTTGAAGTGTTGTTCAACATGGAGGCATACTGATTCATCAGCTGAGGGAGGACAGTATGTGGTAATCAGCAGGAGGTTTCCTTGCCCATGTTTAACCTGGAGCCATGAGACTTCATGGGGACAGGAGCCATTGTTGAGGACTCCTAGAGCAACACCCTCCCGACTGTATACCACTGTGCTGCCCCCTCTGCTGGGTCTGTCCTGCCGGTGAGACAGGACATATCCAGGGATGGTGATGGTGGTGTCTGGGACGTTGTTTGTAAGGTATGCTTCTGTGAGTGTGACAATGTCAGGCTGTTGCTTAAAGAACATAAACATAAAGAACATAAAGAACATAAGGACTAGGAGCAGGAGTAGACTGTCCGGCCCTTCGAGCCTGCTCCGGCATTCAGTAAGATCATGGCTGATCTTTTCGTGGACTCAGATCCACTTACCCGCGTTCTCACCGTATCCCTTAATTCCTTTATTGTTCAAAAAAAATCTACCTTTTTTTTAAAAACTTTTACTGAAGTAGCGTCAACTACTTCACTGGAGAAGGAATTCCATAGATTAACAACCCTCTGGGTGAAGAAGTTCCTTCTCAATTCAGTCCTAAATCTACTCCCTCTAATCTTGAGGCTATACCCTCTTGTTCTAGTTTCACCTGCCAGTGGAAACATCCTCTCTACTTCTATCTTATCTATTCCCTTCATAGTTTTATATGTTTCTATAAGATCCCCCCTCAATCTTCTGAATTCCAATGAATATAATCCCAATCTACTCAGTCTCTCCTCATAAGCCAACCCCCTCAACTCCGGAATCAACCTAGTGAACCTCCTTTGCACCCCCTCCAGTGCCAGTACGTCCTTTCTCAAGTAAGGAGACCAAAACTGCATACAGTACTCCAGGTGTGGCCTCACCAGCACCTTGTACAGCTGCAACATAACCTCTCTGCTTTTAATCTCAATCCCTTTAGCAATGAAGGACAAATTTCCATTTGCCGTCCTAATTACTTGTTGTACCTGCAGACCTACCTTCTGTGATTCATGCACAAGGACACCCAGGTCCCTCTGCATAGCAGCATGCTGCAACTTTTTACCATTCAAGTAATAATCCTTTTTACTATTACTCCTACCAAAATGTATGACTTCACATTTATTTACATTGTATTCCAACTAGTCTGTGAGACAGCTCTCCCAATTTTGGCACTAACCCCCTGAAGTTAGTGATGAGGAACTTTTCAGGGTCGATAGGGCTGTTTCTGCCGTTGTCTTTTCTGGTGCCTAGGTAGATGCCACATGATCCGTCTGGTTTCATTTCCTTGAGAATTTGTAGCGATTGGTACATCTGAGTGGCTTGCTAGGCTATTTCAGAGGGCAATTGAGAATCAACCACATTGCTGTGGGTCTGGAGTCACATGTAGGCCAGACCAGATGAGGATGGCAGATTTCCTTCCCTGAACGACGTTAGTGAACCAGATGGGCTGTTTCGACAATCGGCAATGATTTCATGGTGATCAGTAGATTCTTAATTCCAGACTCTTTCAATTATTGAATTCAAATTCTACCATCTGCCATGGTGAGATTTGAACCTGGGTCCCCAGAATATTAGCAGGGTTTCACTAATGTCCTGTCCATTCCAATGTCTATACTTAACGGTTGATGGCAGGAGAGGGTTACAGGTTGGGAATACAATGGAGATGCATGGTGGGGTTCTGCAGCAAAGGCAAGGGAGTGGCTGTCAGAGCCACACCCCACTTCTCACACAGTGTTTCTCAATCTGGCACTTTGGTTTTGAGTGAGTTACCTCATCCCCAGAGCCCATAAGAAACCTGAATAGCTTTGCTTTTTGTCCTTCCCATTTCATGACTTCCCCACTAGATTCTTATGGTTAATACCTGTAGCAGTGAGATAAACCCCTTAAGAGGGCATTAATTGCTCATTTAAGAGCCTCAATTGGTGGCCAGCCAAGCCAGAAAGGCTGTCTGTGTGCTTTCCTGTCATGGACTTAATCAGGGTGGATGTGATAGGAGGTAGGATCACCTCTGATCACAACACTGCTCCCCATTGCCACTGATTAAATTTCATTCTACCGCCAAACCCCACAGCTGGATAGGGCATAACATTTTGTCCATTGCATTAAAAGTAATAAGCAGAGTAATAATTAAAACAAAAGGTAAGCTGAGAATGTCATGAAAATACCTGAGAAAACACATATTGAATGATTTAAGTTGGGCTTTACACATTCAGAAACAAAATGGCAACTTCATTGTTAATTGACTATTTTCAACTAATTACAGCAGAAGCAGGGGAATAGTTTAGAATTTGCACAATTACTATGTAATTAGTTACAGAGACTGTATAAATGGAGTTTCATTGACTTTGGGTAGACAGACAAACGTACTATACAGTAAAATGCCTCAACTCCAAATAACACAGCCCACTTTGAAATGGTGTTGGATCCCCTTCTTGGTTAAACAACTAGAAAGCAAGGAAGAAGGTATTCAAAAAACTGATGTTTTTCTAGCTCATGGGAAGGGAAGCTGTGAAATTAACACAAAAAAAATGCAAATCAGATTTTATGCATTTCTAAACAATGAAAATGTCTTCAAAGATCTTTGTCTACCATGGCGCACAGAACTAACCATCAAAGTGACCAGTTTTTCAGAAATATTTTGTTTACAAGGAGAATGGGGATTGCTTAATGTTAATTATAAAATTGCCACAGAAAAATCGTTTGTCTGTCGCCACCTTTATTTCTACATTTAAGTGACTTATTGCGTGCTTTAGGATTCAACAGTTTACCTCCAGTTACAATGAAACATACCAATTCTGTTCAGTCTGTCAATTGCCACAGTTTCAAACGCTCTTCGCATCATTGGGTATTGCTCCAGAACTTCGTTGAAATGGTCCACAGAGAGGGAGTAGAGTCGACAGTAGGTGTCAGCTTTCACACTGGCAGTACGCCGTCCTTTAGTGAGTAAGCAGATTTCTGGAGGGGGACAAACAAGAAATAAAAATTCAGAAGCAGGTATTGAATCTGCTGGGAACTCCAACAGATTATCATATTCAATCCAATGTGAATGCCAGAAACTGATCTGGAAGATTGTTTCTTTGCTCCCAGTAGGATTGGTTTGGGTGGTGGGCCAAAGGTGGACAATTTGTTTTTTATTTTTCAATGGGGTATTGGGCTTTTGCTGTCTGTAAATTTCATTTTTTCTTGTGGAATTCATAATTATGGCTGTCTAACCTCAATAGGGAGATGATGAATTAGTAAAATTCATTTCATTCAGATACAGGAGAATTAGGCCATTCGGCCTATCAAGCTGCTTTACCATTTGATCATTGCTGACATGATCTCACGTGACAGTGGAAAAATATTTGCTAAGGTTCACTAATCTGAGACAATATTTTCTTGGATAGCACAATTTCCCACACTGCCATCTGAAGAGTTGGCAGGGAACACATCACCACAGAACTCAACAGCCCCATAGTTATCTGGCACTCCCAGGAGCATTAGTTGGTTGATGATAGGGCAGGTTGGTGGCTGGGCTTCTGCCCCTCACTCGAGTGGAAATCCTGCCTCAGTGAGCCTCCCATTGTAATCCGAGCCACACCAATGGAGGGCAGTAGCCAGGTTTGAGACTACCCAGAATCTATGTCCTCAGGAAAGTTCAGGTGGTCTGAAGGTGAGGAGAGGAGAGAAAGTGAGGCCTGAGGAGGTTCGAATGGGGGATGTGGTGGGTTTCAATAGAAAGGCTCATGGCACCCAAATGCCAGATTTTGGTGGACTGAGGAGGACCTTGAATGAAATGCCCTTCACCTCATGCTTGGCCCTAAACTGGGATCCTCCACAGTATAACTTTGTTCCTGGCAGCCTCAAAATCGACGTGGGGTGGGCTTCAATTGGAGTGAGTGCAGGCAGACTGCCCCAGGCACACCTCAGACATGTGAGAACAGGTAAGGGGGAGGCAGGAGGGTGATGGGAAAACTGTTTGGGCTGTCACAGTCATTGAGCATGCAAACCTGCTGACAGGGCATTGTAAGATCCTGCTTCTGACATACAGAAGAGTCCTGGTTGAAAAAATACACATTTTTCACTTTTGGAGATGTTTAAACTTGGCTGTAATGCCTCAAAGCTCAAATGAAAGAGTAAAAAGCAGCAGTGACGATGGAATTATCATCTATTACAAGACAGCTTCCTGAGGATTAGTGGGATAGCGGTGAATTAAATGGATTAAATGGAAAAATAATAATAATTTGGTGGAATAATTTTAATGTTTTTTGGGTAATATATTAATTGAGATGCAAGCAGAGTAACTCCAATGAGATTCAACCTTACTGCTTAAGTGAACGTAAAAAAAAATCAAATGGTACTATTGAAAGAAGAGCAGGGAATTTCTGGCAATTATGTAGCTCTCATATAGTAGCAGTAGATCAGAATATCCAGTTATTATCTCAATGCTGCTTGTGGGATTCTCTGTGCACCATCTGGTTGTTTGCTATCTTTCCCAACATTGAAACAGTGACTACATTTCCCATGTATTTAATTGGCTGCAGTGTATTTCAAGATACCCTGAGGTCATGAAAGGTTCCACATTAATGAAAGTTCGTTCTTTTTCTAGTTACTTGTCACCAGGATCACTTATGTCATGCAATTATAGAGAGCAGATACTCCATAATATCTAGAAATTTGAAGAATCATTTTGACATTGTAAAATATTGGGAAGTCATTGGTAACAGGAACTGTTAAGTTTTGTGTCATTGAGATAATGTGATTATTTGAGGAAGTAACTAATGTGGTTAGCCAGGCAGGAGCGAGTGAGAAGACGGTTCAAGACAAGACGTAAGCAGCACCTGCAGGGGCAGGCAAAGGAAGGAGTCTGCAACACCAGACAGCATCACTTAGAGGAACAGGCAAGGAAAGGATCCTGTGACAGGCATCCAGAGACACAGCTAGATTCATTGGAGCTAAAAAGAATTGGTTCTTCCTGATTAGCAGAGAAAGGAGCTAGCTGTTTATGGAGTCTCTGGTAAATGTTTAATCTCTTTTTCTACTCTTAAGTTTAAAATCATATAAAATTGGCAGTAAATTTAATAAGATATGTATAAAATCATATAAAAATTGGCAGTAAAATTAATAAAATATATATGTAAATAAAATTTATAAAATAAAATATATAAAATATATAAAATCAATGGTTAATTGTTTAAAACTCTTGAAGAATGGCAGGATGGGTGCTGTGTCAAAGCTGCCCCATGTGGGAGCTCCTGGATACCATTATGATCAAAAGCAAACATGTCTGCAGTAAATGTTTTAAGATTGAGTAGTTTTGGTTCAGACTTTGTGAGGTAGAGGTAAGTAAGGGAGTAGTAAAAACAGGTGATGGTATAGTGAAGGCAAACAATATTATTCACTGCAGCAAAGAGCAAGAATCCAAATGGCTGTGTTGCCTGCCAATTACCAGGCTTCAGGATATCTGCTCAGGACTGGAAAGTCACTTGCAGTGGGAGAGGGAGGATCCAGTGATCATGGTCCAGGTAGTTATCAATCTCATAAGTAGAACTAAGAAAGAGGAATTGTGGATTACTCTATCTGTCATGATCTTATCTCCTACCTGGCTCACTAGGGGCAGCATGGTGGCTCAGTGGTTAGCACTGCTGCCTCACAGCACCAGGGACCCGCGTTCAATTCCACCTTCGGGCGACTGTATGGAGTTTGCATGTTCTCCCTGTATCTGCGTGGGTCTCCTCCCACAGTCCAAAGATGCGCCAGTTAGGTGGATTGATCATGCCATAGTGCCCAGGGATGTTTAGGCTAGGTGGGTTAGACATGGGAAATGCAGGGGCAGAGGTAGGGGAATGGGTCTGGATGGGATGCTCTTCGGAGGGGTGATGTGGATTTGTTGGGCTGAGTGGCCTGTTTCCACACTATAGGGATTGTATGAATTGTGGACCAGACTCAATGGGCCAAATGGCATGCTTTTGTTCCTATATCTATTGTCTTAGAGACAGTATAAAGAGCTAGGCACTAAATTAGAAAGCAGAATCTCAAAGTTTACACTCCATCGACTATTATGCTATTCTGTCTTGCAAATTGACAGAGGGTACAAAGAGGTGAATCTGTGTGGGAGAAGTGGGTTCCAGCTCATGGGACACTGGCAGCAGTACTGAGAAAAGTGGGGGCTGTACTGTTCAGCTGGTCTACACATGAATTCTGCCGGGGCCAGTGTTCTTGTCAATGATATAATGTGTTAAGATGTGGTATATGAAAGAATACAGACAAGGTAAGAGAGGAAAAGAGTAAAATGAGAAATGAGGTTCAAAGAATTGGATAGCGAGGAAGTAAAGAAAACAGGAATACACTAACAAACAAGGCTACAATACAAAACTACAAAATTAAAGGCTCTGTATGCATACTGCATTCATAACAAAGTAAACAAACTGATAGTGCACCCTGAAGTAACTTAATATAATCTGATGGCCATTACAGAGATATGGCTGAAAGTTGATGAGGATTGGCTCCTGAATAATGAGGGACATGAGGGAATAATGAGATGACCTTGGCTCGGGAAATCAGGGTGTATAATCAACTTGGGTGGAGATGGCGAATAGTGGTGAAAAGAAGTCTCTTAGAGGAGTGGCCTAAATACCCCTTAACAGAAACCACAATGCAGGGCAAAGTATACAAGAAGAAACATTGGGTGCTATGACAAAAGGATGGGTATGATAATATCATGGGTGTCTTTAATCTACTTATAAACTGGAAAAATCAGATTGGCAGTAAGAGCTTGAATGAGGAGTTCATAAAAAGCATTTGAGTTAATTTCCTGCACAGTCTGAAATCAACCAAACAGCGGACTATATTAGAGACAACTAGGTGCAGAGCTGGATGAACACAGCAGGCCAAGCAGCACCACAGGAGTAGGAAGGCTGATGTTTCGGGCCTAGACCCTTCATCAGAATTTTCAGAGCCTTCCTGCTCCTGTGGTGCTGCTTGGCCTGCTGTGTTCATCCAGCTCTGCACCTTGTTGTCTCAGATTTTCCAGCATCTGCGGTTCCTACTATCAGCGGACTATATTAGACTTGGTATTATGTAACAGAACAGGATTAATAAATGATCTCAGAGTAATGACACTCCTGGGTAACAGCTGCTACAACACAATTGTAATTTACGTACAGTTTGAAAAGGAGACATTTGGGACCTGGGCAATTATTTCAAAGTGAAATAAGGAAATTATCTGGACATAAAAGCTGAAGTAAACTGTACATTCAGCTAAGGAATAGAGTGAGAGTGAAGCATTGGAAACCATTTTAGGGGATATTTCAGAATATTCAGAATAAGCATTTCCTACTAATAGGAAAACTTCTAAAGGGATGTCCCATCATCTGTGGTAAACTGAAGAAGTGAGGAAAACATCAAACTAAGGGAAAAAAACATGTAACTGGTGGCTAATGAAATGGTTGAGGTATTGGTGTTAATTTTACAAAATTTCCTAGATTCAGGAAAAGTTCTATTGAACTGGAAAATAGCAAATATAATCTCCTCTATTCAGGAAGGGAAGGAAGTCAGAAAACAAGTAACTATTGGTCAGTTGACTTGATGTCTGTCATGAGAAAAGTATTAGTATCAATGATTAAAGTGTCTACAGCTGCACACTGAGACCACTTCAGGGAATTGGGAAAGGGCAGCATGGTTTTCCTAAAGAGATATCGTACTTATGAATTTTTTTGGAATTCTTTGAAAGAGGAACAAGTGCTCTGCATAAAAAGGAGCCCGTAGATGTATTGTGGTTGGACTTTCAGAAGGCATTTGATAAAAAGTCACATTAAAGATTACTGCCAAAAATAAAATATTGTGGTGTAGGGGCTAAAAATTACCAGGAATAAGTGAGTCGTCTTATGAGAATAGGTTGGACTTATTTCCACTGGGGTCTCAAAGAGTAAGAAATGACTTGATTGAAATGTTTATCGTATGTATTTTTCTAGTAA